TAATAATTGATCATAAAGAAATCCGGTCTGTTACAGACTTTTTTCTTAAATTATTTCTATGAGAGTGTTATGTATGTTTTATTACCCCCCCCCCCCTCCTTTCACAGGTAAATATCTTCAAAATTCAAAAGGTGAATAATTCGTAATAATGCATGCTTTTTTTTTTTATATAAATTTGATGAAGTTAAACCATGTAATCATGAATTTTAATTACAACATTTACAGACAAGAGTAATGTTTATTTTTCAATCTATCAAACTGAGCTATCAACCTTTGATATTTTACCTGACCAAATAAAATATTCGGCATGGGTCACGTGTGTCCAAGCATCTTTTACTGTTGAGTTAGCAATGGATTACAAGACTTCTAAGATGCATTTTTCCATAAAAGTAAAATAGGATAATTCTTTCGACCTGTGCGCATCCCTGTAACGATAGCAGTATTCAGGTAAATGTTTTAATTACTGCGTTTGACGCCTTTTCTCGACCTGCATGGATTTTTGCTGTACATGAATGTATTCCGTGTTAGTGTATTTTTATATTGCAGGAAATGCATTCAAAATTCAAATATATTTTAATTCTCGGTATATAGTTCTAGTTTTTGTTGAATGATTACTTTTCAAATATGTATTTGGTCAGTTTATGGACTTCTAAAAACTATACTATCGGAGATGTGTATATGTCGACAGCCAGGCTAGAAAATCATTCAAGTGAAACAATTGTACAAGCCTATATATAGCAGGTACAGGTGACCAAAAATTTTCAAAGAAATATGGCGGAATCGAAGAAATATGGCGTACAGGAATGTAGTAAGTCGTACAAAGATGAGAAATGATGCCTTTTTATGAGTTCATGTCAGCTTTAACAACAAATTAAAAACACCCGTGATATATTTCATAGTTTCTAATGTTTGCATTTTGTTCATAAGAACATTTTTTTATTTTGCTCTTTATTGACATGATCATAGATTGACCTGAACCACGTGTTCGAAGTATTATAACATGTATTTCGCGTAAACGTATTCAATCAACAATTGGTCAGTTGTTCGTGGTAAGATCCTCTGTGCGCATTAATAGAAATATAAGGAAAACGAAGGTTTGTTCAGTGTAGATGATATTACACTTTTTTAATCAGCGTATCGGTCGCTAGTTAACTGTAATTTTTGCTGTAAACTATGATAAGATGTATTAATCGTTATTTCACCCCCCCTCCCCTTAAGCCACCCATTTCTGTTGAAAATCACGAATGTCTTTCAGAAAGTTGTGGAAACACATTTTTCACAGGGCATGTTTTCAGAAGAAACAGACTGTAGCAATTTCTTGTTTACTACCAATTTACTACCTACCTATACTTTACTTACTATTACTACCAATTTTATTTATAAAACCATTTCTGCCCTATAACCTTTGAATAGGTAAACCTGAACCACGTGTCTTGAATGTAAATCACAATAACATTAGTAGGGCTGATTTTATTGCAGTTATCTGTATTTGTTTGTATACTGCACTAACTTGTAAGTTTCTTTGGTATCCTACTTTCCTGCATTAGACGAAGTATTACGTTCTTATTGTCGCTACCGTGTGTTGTATAGCATACGTCCGACATCGGAGTCGACTGATTACACTGAAGGTATAGCGATTCTCCGAACGAAGATGACAGACACATTCCTTTTACGAATAGTGTTCAGCTTTAATACCCATAGGTAGGGTAGGGGAAAGATTGCATTTCAACTAATCAGTAATACAATGTATTTAACAATAATCAGTAGTGTCCTTACCACACATGAAGCCCTGACCCTAGGTCTCATCAGTATGTATAAGCATATGAAGATTGATTAAACTATCTTGGAATAGTTTCTTTAAAATTGAGCTAATCACGTATTTAAGAAAAATGAGATATAGGTCAATGTCTAACATAAGGATGCAGTTGAAGAGCTAACATCAGTATTTATCAGCATGATTAATTTAAGAACACTATCTTGAATGCTTTCTTTCAAACTGAACTAACTAATTTATCAAAGGTCGGGTCAAAGGTATGGTCAAAGAAATGTTGATACATTTGAATAGTTTACATCAGTAAATCACGTATAAATAATTTGTCTGTGAATTCAAACAGGGGGACGTGGTATTGGTTGATACACCTGGGATTGGTCATTCGAAGGAACATACAAACATTCTACTTTCCTACATCACCAATGCGGTAGCCTTCGTTTTTGTTGTCAATGTAACCAGTGGTGGAGGCTTCCAAGAAGACATGGTAAACTTCTATGAATCTTTAACGAACACAAATGTTGATTTAATACTGGCATAACAATACTTCACCAACAGTCATGCTATTGTATTCTGCCGGATATCTCTAACATAGAATAATTTGTGTTTTTACTCAAGCCCTAGAGGGGCTTGAGTTATCTAAAACGATGCTAGGTCATCGATTTACTCAGTTAAAATACACGAAAAATAATATTTTTGTAGATTAAAATATATCTAGAAACAAAAATGAATCTTATCTTGAAAAGGTCTGTATATTCAAAGATATTAAGCGTTAAATGGCGGATTCTTTTCTATGGTGAATGAACAATGAGTGAAGCTCCGCATCCGCAACAATTTCTATACAGAGATTTCGCGCTTTCCTTTGCGTAGGGATCTCAGGTAACTTTTACAGACGCCGACAAAGCATCTTTGGACGAGTCCACTGTTTACTCTGAAAGGTGACGCAGGTCACCCCATCGTTAATAAATTCTACCATGCATGGCAAGAAAATGTATGGTTGTACCCCCCATATTAAAATTGCTTCTCACGGGCCTGAGAATGATGTACATGTGCACTTTGAGTGACAGTTAAATAATAGCACAACATGGATGTTAAATTCTCCCTCGTACGTTTTTTTTAATTTAAAAAAATCGTACTAGTTATCTTCAGCTTTGGTAACGGATCCTATATATACCTTCTTTTGGATTTGTCCTGAATATGTGTTAGACATGCCGCACAGCCAGATGAACCCGTAGTCACGTGGATTTTTTGGAGCCCGAACTCGGGAGCCCCCCCCCCCCAATCCACTTTGAAAAACGATTTTACCTGTAGGCTTGTAACAAGCTATTTGGACTGATGTATATTAAATTGTGATAGATGTACTTGATTAAGCAAAAATTCATCTTAAAAAGTAGTACGATTGATTATATTTATTCTAATTAAATTCAATATATGAATTTTGTTTCATGTACATGTATATTTTATTCAACAGAAGATTGAACTCGATAGCCCTCATCTTATACCATTAAAGGATATTAATGACACTACCTAGTTGACTTTCTACAGTTTGAGTATTTCTGACGTTTTGTCAGTATATCTATATTTATAAATTAACAAATTTTGCAAATAAACTCTGAAACGGCTGCACAAGAGTTCTTACTAAAGCCTGTAGGAATACACTAGGTATAAGGTGATGTCCGTAAACTATATTTAGATTTCACTCGCATAGTAATTATCGTAAATTTAATTGAAAGTCTACTTTCATTTTCGAATAACAGCCTCAAAATAGCACCTAAGAGAGAAAAGTGGTGGCGGATCTAAGTAACCGACACTTTAAAAAAACTGACAAACAAGAAAGCGCTTATTCATTTCATAAAACGTCATTTATGAATTATTCAATCAAAACTTGATTTAAGCGATATAAAAGAAAGAAGCTTTGGTCATTGATTAAAAAACAAGATCTGCAAATCCTTTCCGTTTATGTCCGATCTCGCTATTTGTTGAGAGTTCAAGAAGTCAGGTGGCGTCGAACCCGATGTCTAAAAGAAATTCGAGGCGATTATCTATCATGAATGGCCATTGAAATAAATGTAAAGGAATTGGTAACACAATAAGTTAGTGAATACTGTAACTGTATTATATTTAGGATTTTGGACAAGTTAGCGTGGATTTGATTTAGCGCATATCTTAATGTTCTTCTTTATAGATATATGTGCGAGACATTTAGTGTTGTACTTGAATTAGCGGATATTGCTTTCCGCCAAAAACGCTAAAAAGAATACACAGCCAAATGTAATACGTTTACAGTATATCGTAGTTAATTGTGCTAATGTTTTCAAAATAAATGTCGATTAATGGCCATGGTTATTTGTTTGGACAGGTACAATTTGATTTACATAAATGTTTTAAAATGTGTTCTTTGATGAATACTTTCAGTTGACTTTCTACATACAGTCTTTAAGTTTTAAAACTTATTTATACCTCTTAGGCCTGTTTGTACATTTGGGATGAAAACTAAGCCTTTTTAAAAAAAAAAAAATATTTTATATGTAGTACATGATGAAAATATAGTACAACAGAATAAAGTTGCTTATAACATATAAGAAGAAGAGACCTTTAATGAAATTGATATTTGTAGCGGTAAAAAAAAATCTCACAATACTAGGAAATGTATTTCTTATAATTATCTATTTCTGCTCCTAAACTAATTGCGGGACTATGATGTATTTCGTCATGCTATAATTGTTGTGTTGTAAAAATCACCATCCAACACTTTGGTCAGCCATAACGGAACTACTTTATTCAATATTCATGCGCAGTACATTCTAATATATAAAACTGTTAACGAAGGATACAAAAGATCCAGAATACATCACATTCCTCCCCTTTATTTAAGATGTACACAATTTTCAAGATTTTACAGTCACTATTCAGTAATGAAATTGTAACAAAATATTTTTACTTATTCAAGAGTCAATTTCTTTTTGAAAGTCACTGATAATGTTCCTGGCTTTTAATATTATGAAAAGCTATTTAGCTTAAAGAAAACAGTATCATAAATTGACTAGAATGACTATATGACTAGAACTAATGAACACATTTGCACTTTTACAACAAATACTAGTAGCAGAAAAGAACCTCGATCTGGTTCTTACTGATTACATGGAGATTACTGTGCTCCCAACACTGTGTAATCAGTATAATATTCACAAATTCATTTTCTTTGGAGCTCGTCTCTCTTTGCGGATAGCGTCTAACATTTGGAATCGGCTCTGTCATGGACGGAGACAGCTTGTGGAATTGCATCTTTTCCTTCTGGAGTATGCATTGTTGTAGGAACGGTCGGTCTGACATCAGGAATTTCAATATTTGGTTCCGAATTGGTGTCGCTAGTTCCACAACGAAGCTGATCAGCATGACGTCGCCATAGAGTGCCGAGTCCTGTGTCAACTGTGTAAGAAAGTGGTCCAGTACGAGAGTGTATCTCACCGGGTATCCAACTCTGTTCTGCTTTCCTGTAATCTCTGGCCATAACCATCTCTCCTTCCTTAAATTTTCTAACATTAGAGCGTATGGAAAATTTCATCTGGTCTTGTTCTGACAAAACGGTATCATTTAAGTTTGGTTTAATGATGTCCAACCTTGTTCGCAAGTTTCTTCCCAACAGCAATTTCGCAGGTGTTTCGTTAGTTAACGAATGTGCGGTACGGTATTTGAACAAAAATGTGCTCAGCTTTTGTTGCATGGATGTTTGGTCTCCCTTAACACTCTTCATTGCCTGTTTGAATACTTGAACAAGTCACTCTGCTTGCCCATTCGTACGAGGGTGATACGGGGCAGAGGTAATATGCTTGATGCCATTTTGTGCAAGAAATAACCGAAATTCCTCCGAAATGAACTGGGGTCCGTTATCTGACACTATCACCTTCGGAAGTCCAAGTTGTGAAAATAAAATTCTCAATTTCTCAATGGTAAGTTTTGCTGTTGTTGATTTCATTGGAAAGATTTCCAGCCATTTAGAATGTGCATCTACGATGAGTAAGAACATAGAGTCTTTGTGTAGGCAGTCCCAGGGTTCCTTCGGCCAATCCCAGGAATGCACCGGAGCAGCTTTTGGCATGTTGCTATGGTGTTTGGCAACCAATGCAACTGGAACACAAGTTTTCGATATCTTGATCAATTTTAGGCCACCACACATATGATCTTGCGATAGACTTCATTTTGACGATTCCAATGTGACCCTCATGTAAATCTTGTAAAACTTTGTCTCTTAGTTTTTCTGGTACAACAACACGATTTCCCCACATCAAGCAATTCTGGTGACAGGTAAGTTCCTTAAATCTGTTACTGTAAAGACGAAATCTCTCATCATCTCCAGGTAAGTCATTGTGTCCCTTGGAAACACAGTCCAATACATGTGATAAGACATTATCTCTTTGAGTTCCAAGCTTGACTTGTGCACTAGTAACAGGTAGTTGATCCATTTGAGTATTGTAAACTACTGTTGCTGTGTCTTCATAATCTGATGCTGTCACTGAAAGTGGTAGTCTGCTAAGTCCATCGGCATTACAATGAGATTTGGTGTTTCTGTATTCAATGTCGTAAGTATGTCCAGCCAGATAGAGCGCATACCTCTGCAGTCGAGCGGCTGTCATGGCAGGTATTCCGGCACTAGGGTTCAGGATGCTAATCAATGGCTTGTGGTCTGTGACTAATGTGAAACGACGTCTATACAGGTAAGTATGAAATTTAACTTCTCCCCAATACAAAGCTAAGGCTTCCTTGTCTATTTGAGAATATGCTTTTTCAGCCTTGTTTAGTGATCTGGAAGCAAACGCTATTGGTCGTTCAGTTCCATCATCCATTACATGAGAAAGAACACTACCAATTCCATATGGAGAAGCATCGCAGGCTAGCTTGACTGGCTTGTTTGGGTTATAATGACAAAGAACTTGTACTGACGTCATCATTTCCTTAACTTATGTGAAGGCCTGTTCACACTGTTTTGTCCATTTCCATGTTTTATCTCCCTGCAGAAGTTCATTCAGCGGACCATTGACTGTTGACAGGTTTGGTAAGAATGAACGGTAGTAATTAACTAAGCCTAAGAATGATCGGAGTTGCTGTAAGTTCTCTGGTCTAGGCGCATTAAGTACAGCGTTGACCTTGTCTGGTGACTTCTTCAGTCCTTCCTCTGATATCATGTGACCACAGTATGACACTTGTTCTTTAAAGAAGTCGCCTTTGTCCATGTTAGCTTGTAGACCGAACTTTTCTAATCGTTCTAAAACTGCATCAAGGTTCGCAAGGTGCTCTTCATCTGTTTTTCCGCTTATGATCATGTCATCGAAAACACATGATGTGAACGGTATCCCTTGTAACACTTGGTCCATGGCACGTTGCCATATAGCGGGGGCAGCAGCAACACCAAACTGTAGATGTGTTTACTGGAATAAGCCCTTGTGTGTATTGATTGTCATTAGTTCTCTGGACGACTCATCTACTTGCATCTGGTTGTAGGCTTGTGTCAAGTCTATCTTAGAAACTTCCTTCCTCCTGCTAGTGATGCAAATATATCCTGAATTCGAGGTAACGGATACTGGTCCACCTTCATTACTGGATTGATGGTTACCTTGTAGTCTCCACACAGACGTACTTGACCATTTTTCATCACTATAGGAACAACAAGTGAAGCCCATTTAGTGTGAGTAACTGACTTGATTATGCCCTCTTTTTCCAGGCGTTTAAGTTCTTCCTCGACTTTTGGCTTTAGGGAATAAGGTACGGGTCTAGCCTTACAGAATTTTGGTTGAACACTATCTTCCAGGTACAATGAAGCTGTAATTCCTTCCAGTTTTCCAATCTCGGATCTGAAAATGGCTCGATGTTTGTCGAGAATTTCCTTTAACATAGTGTCAGTTTTCTGTGTAGTCTGTTGTAGCTTTAACACTTTCACTTCATGCCAGTTCTCTTTAAACTGTGATAGTCCATCACGACCAAAGAGTGCGGGTCCCTTTTGTCTCACTACTACTAGATCCATGTTTCCCTGTTGCTGATTTAACGTCACTGGTACATGCACTGTGCCTAGAGGACTAATATTCTCACCCGTAAAAGTCTTGAGTTTTATTTTGGTCCCCTGAAGTTGTACGTCACTGAGATTTTGTTTATAGAACGTCTCGGGTATGATAGATACAGACGATCCAGTATCTAGCTCCATGTTAATAGGTTGTCCTTTGATCCTCAGCTTAAGGATGATTGGGTCAACTTTGTGCATATTGTTAACAGTATGCACATGTAACATATGTTCAAACTGATGTTTATCATGCTCGTCATTGTCATTTAGGAAGTTCACCTTTTTCCCAGTCCTTCTCTCTGTGTCCTTCTTTTTCTTTAAACATGCTCTCTCTATGTGACCTTTCTTCGAATAGTAACGACAAATACTGTTTACATGTTTACAGTTCATAACGCTGTGTTCATCACCACATCTCCAGCAGTCCTTGTGTGCACATTGTGCTGGGGCTGGCATCATCTTCTGTGCCTGAGGTTTTGTCGAGAATCGAGATTTTGATTTCTGGGTAGGCCTACCATTAAGATTTACCTTGTGAATTGTACCGGTGTTTCTTTGCTCTCGAAGCTCTGTCGCATCTCGTTTTGTAGTCTCCATTGCATGCGCAATTTTCACTGCAGTATCTAGTGTTAGTGCTGGCTCAGCAAGTAATTTTTTGGACAGATTCACTGTTAATACCACACACAAACCGGTCTCGTATAGTGTCATTGAGAGTCTCTCCAAAATTGCAATGTATGGACAGTTTTTTGAGTTCCGCCACATATGACAACACAGTTTCACTTGATCGTTGTTCTCGTTTGTGGAATCTAAATCGCTCCGTAATGACGGACGGCTTTGAACACAGATGTTCAAGAATCTGTTGGTAAATGAGATTTGCAGGCTTAGTAGGTGCAACAATATTCTTTAATAGCCCGTACGTTTTAGGTCCTATAACAGCTAAGAATGACGGCACTAATAAATCTTCAGAAACCCCGTTTGCCTTAAAATAGAGGTCGACCCGTTCTGTGTAAACATCCCATGTCTCGAGTGATTCGTCGAATGATCCAATCTTACCGATTGATCTGACCTGTATTATTTGTGCAGCGTTTTCTTCTTCACCCATATTGTATCAATCTGTATGTTTGTCGACTCTAAAATACCATCCTCGTCGCCAAAATGTTGTGTTGTAAAAATCTCCATCCAACACGTGGGTCAGCCATAACGGAACTACTTTATTCAATATTCATGCGCAGTACATTCTAATATATAAAACTGTTAACGAAAGATACAAAAGATCCGGAATACATCACAATAATCCTGTGTAATAAACTGTCAATAGAATCTGAAAAAATTGTTTTTTTAAATACGCAGGTAGGTTAAGGTTACAACCAAATATTCTATTTGCCTATATGATATGACGTCATAATAAGCTATATGATGTAAGATTTACAGATAACAATTTCTTAAAATCGATATCTAAGATTGATTTGAGGTCGTAAAAATGAACCAAAATATGCAGAGGAATAATATCAACGGAATTTTGTCGTTCTGTAGTTTTCACAGGGGTTACATACCAAACCCGTGACGTCATAACTGTTGATCATGCAGTAGCAGAGTGAAAGTGAAAAGTAACGAGAATTGATGTAAACAAACACAAGAAATCGGAGTTTAAAAACATTTAGAATGAATATCATGTGTGATTCTTGTGGGAATAAAGCGTATGAATAAGGTATGGTAATATAATTCTGCAATTTCTTCGTAAAATTAAAGCAGGGAAGGTGTTTACTTGCCGATCAGCCTTTCCTCTGTCGTTTGTAACAAAAAAGATGCAAAAGTTCAACACTACGCCGCATGCCTTGAAACTTGATTTTTGTTTTTATCTAAAGTTCTTATTCTATTGTTTTTGGAAAGTGCTGCTAGAATCGTATGGTTTACTGGAATTGATACATTTTTTTCGATGTTATGAACAAAATGTAAAAATTTTGGGAAGGTTTCGTCCGAAATTGTTGAATAATTATTTCTATAAGAGGATAGTAGGATTCTAGCAGCACTTTTCATGGTACAGAGATGTTTTTACATAACTATGAATATAAATTGGAACTAATTATCCCCGGGGTAGTGTTAAACTTTTCACTTTTTCATTAAGGCATATTTTCTAATTATAGACGTCACGTGGTGACGTCGTGGTGAAGTGCCTCCTGTAGTATAAGTCCCTTTGAAGTCTATAGAATGCATAATTATAGTAAAAGTTTTATCCTTGACTTTTCCGATTTATTAGTGTTACATAATTATAAAAAAGTGTTAATTCGCAGAATTCTGATCCATGTGCTGCCTTAACAAACCCGCGTAGTTCTTTGAAAAAAAAATCAATTTCCCCCACGCTTGCGCGGGATTTCAGCTAGTACTTGTTTTAATTTAGAGGCACGTTGATGAGTTTCATGCATGAATAATGCAAATAGCTAATAAGTGACCAGTCATAAATGTATTTACAGCTTTATCGAAGCCAAATAACCACAAAATACTTGCGTTTCTTCTAGCACTTTAGTGATTAAATTTCCAGGTAATAACAAATTGGAAAAACAATTATATTTACATTGATGTTTTCATTGTGAACTGGCAGGTAACATGTACGTGTACATGGAACCATTTTTTTTATTCTGCATCGAACAGTTAAAGCAGTGTGACAGTACATGTACTTATTGATTCCTATTAGAAATATTAATTTCTTA